GTGTTTCTAATGAGAAGGCAAATCCCAGCAATAATCAAGTATTTCTTCAGCTACTCCCACCAAAGAAAGCAACAGGATATGTAGAGCCTTGGTTTTCCTTTCACCCTTTGTCTTGAGATCAAAGGCTGCTGCCAGGTCTTTAGGGATTTGACAGAACCACAGGAATCAAATATTGAAATGATCTATTAGGTCACATCTTGTGCATCATCTCCTTGGGCAGATGAAGATTGGTCTTTGCAACAGTTACTGGGGCTTGCTTATATTTGCTCTTCGCTGCAATACCTCAATGCACAAATTGTATCACAAATAAAAGCTTTGCTGCTTTCAACTTTGCTTGGATTCTTTATTCACCAAAGTCTTTCAGTGCAGTTTGTGAGCACAGCAACCAAATATTTCCTACAGTTATGAGCATCAGGGCCCAGTCCAGTCTACAGCATCAGATTTTAACAGCAAATTGCCTGACTGATGACACATCCTCTGCTGCTCCTAGACTTTTTTTTGAATTCTATAAATAAACCCATAGTGAGTTAGTTAAATAAAATCAATCAGTGAGTTGATGTCAGTTGTTAGACCACCCCATGAATAGTCTAAGTCCTGTACTTGCACTGTTCCCACTGACACAATGCCTGGCTGGGCACGGTGAATTCCATAGGACAATGCTGCTGATCCTACAGAAGTGACCGCTGTGGTCACAACTTTAACCTCTTCAGCCCAGAGATCACAATAACCCAAAGTCTCTTTTCTTTCTTACAATCCTCAGCATGTTGGAAATCTCCCCTTTTGCCACCTGCTGGGATTGCAAGCTCCACTTTGGGGGTGCACAGCAAATACCTGCCCTGGCACACACACAAAGCTGCACCAGCCCAGAGAGGGAAGAGCTGGTGCACATCACAGAGCCAGCACCACTTCCTTTCATTTTGGTTTTTATTTGCTCTACTTAGGTGTGAGCCTAAAAGTGGGATTCCATAGCCTTAGACTGTGTGCCTGTGGCAAGCAAAGTGAAAATAGGTCAGCTAAAAATTAGAAATAAATGCAAATACATCCAGAGTGGCCGCTGCTGTTTAGAGAGAGACGCTGTGCTCGTGCAGGGCCTGTGCCCCTGCCCACAGAGCTCCCGGCAGACTGGGACAGCCCAGGCAGGGCAGGGCCACAGGGGGAGGCACTGCAGGTGCCACAGAAAAGCAGACACTCCTCTAATTCAACCCATGGGGACCCAAGAAAGCCTCTTAAAAAGCCCCAATAAAAAGAAGTAATCAGAGCAAGAGCTCAGAGTGCCAGGCTGAGGCACACATCCATGAGCCTTCCTCTCTCTCTCCCCCTTCCATGGTTCACAGCTTCCCAAAGTGCTCAGGCCTGCCAGCTTCAGGTTGTGTGACGTCCATGAAGGACAATATAAAGACAAAATTCACACAAATGACAACATGGAATGCTTTGGTTTTCTGACATCAAAGACTGAAACAAATGCCTGCATTCAGTCCTTGAATTCAGGCCTGGCAGAGGCTGGAGAGGGCCCACAGTGAGCAGGGAAGCCCTGGCTTTCAGCAGCTCACTGAGCAAGGCAGTCACCCTGCTCCTTGCTCAGCCCCAGGCAAGCAATTCCCCTTTTCTGCAGAGTACAGAGAGGCATAAAACTCTCACTCAGGTACTGGTGTGCAGAGCTGACAGTCTGGGAAAATACACTTTTGCTGTTCTGCCCATCTGTGACAGGCACCCCTGCAGAAATGATACCAAAGTTTTTGTGCAGATGTGGCAGATGTTTAAGGACACTCTAAGAGGGCCAATGACCCTCAATCAAATTTTAAATCAGCTTATGAAGAGATGACAGTGACATTCTGCCCTTCAGAATTAGCAATCACATCTACCTTATGCAATGAAATTACAAAGCTTAAAAGTTATTAAATTACAAGAGAGCTTTACATCTTTCAAGAGTTGTCTCAAGTTCCTGAGCAGGCCAGGAATTCCTTTCCACTTCTCCATTTGTATTCTTGGCTCGCAGCCATTTCACAGATGAGACATTTCCAACTGCTGAAATTAATCCATCAGCTCAGGTTTTACAGAGCATCCAGGAGATGGTTTGGGTGGAGGTGGGAGTCTGGCTCTGGACAGGAAAGCTGCTGTAGGGCAGAGTTTCACACACACATTGCACATGGTGCACAGTCAGGCACCCGTGTCACAAACAGGGGGTCATGAACATCACAAACTGAAGTACAGCTGCTTGCTGCATTCTTGAAGCCAGGAAAACTGAAAAATCCTTCAAGCAGTGTCAGTGTTTCTTTGGAAGTCTGACAAAGGACTGAAAAATAGACACCTAAGCTCAAGTATACAAAACCAGCAATCAACCCATCCATTTTTTATTCTCCTTATTATTGCCACAGAGCAGAGTTTCCAAAGGGAGATTTAAAAGCCAATTGTAACTTCCCTGTGACTTTTAGGTACTCCCCCTGTGACGATGGTACAACAAGTCACATTCGAAATAGAAAGTAAGATTTAGAAAGTAAGATTTAGAAAGTAAGATTTAGAAAGTAAGATTTCAGCAGAGTTTGGGACCAAAGGTTCATTAACTTTCTATAGAATTTATGTGCTTTGGAAAAAGCCAGCACCATGTCCTTAAAGGGTTCTGTAACAAATGAGCTTCCCCTGATTCAAAGAAGAAAAGAGAAGAAATGAGAGGTTTAAAAAGCACCAGCAAACGATGATGATGAGCATTTAAAAAGCCAACAACATTTTCCAGACTGTGTTCTCTCTCTATTACTCCCACACACAGTCAGATGCAGAGTTATGATCATTCCATCTCACATTCACCAACATCCTTCCCTCCCCAGGTTCAGCAAAGGATTGAGTAAGTTCTCAAAATACCACACATTGGAAATGCAAACCTGGATTCAGGAAGATCTGAGGGATCTGCCATGACATCTCAACATCTCCAGTGACAGGAGATTTAACAAAACAAGACTTTTATGTCCTTTATTTGAACATTAGGTAGTGAGTGTAACACATGTAACATAAAACTAGAAAAAAAATCAGCAATGCTATGCTATAGGAAGATGCTCACTAGCGTTTCCAGAAATAATGAGTAGATAATTTTAAAATTTGGCATGGAGACAGGAATTCCCCCATGTGCTCTCAGTGTCAATGTGGCTGTTCCACCCAGCACAAACTCCACAGCGAGAAAAACGATTTCCCACAAGAACTCTGATTGTTCAGGTACAACTCACAGATATTTTAGATCTTTTGATTCAAAGTTTCCACCTGTGATGCCAAAAGTCTTTTATATTACAAAAAGGGCAGGTGACAATGTTCTGGACCACATGATGGGCTCAGCACAATGACTCCAGAGGGAGTTTGCCCAAACATGATGTGAAAGGATCCATGATGTGAAATCTGGCCCAGAGCAGGTCCAGGGATGGCTGATCCAGCTGTGAGCAGGCACGCTCTTACATTAAACTTAATGTCAAAGTTAATTACAAATGTTATTTCTGCTCTATTGTTTCATAAATGCAATTTTATTTATAAATATCCTCTCGCTTTGCTGGCCATGTACACAGGAATCTCCACCCCCTAACACTTCAAAGGACATCAATCTTGAGGAAATGCAACTCCCACACTCTGACTGTTACACAGGAAAAACACTGCTGTTATGCAACACTACCCTGTTCCAAAACACCTCAACGTCAGACCCTCAGAGACAGAAATTGAAATTTATCAGCCATGGAACAAGTTCAGAAAACTGCAACAGGGTCCAGATAATTACAGGGTTTATACAATTATACAAAGCTCCTCCCCAGCAAAAAGGCTTTTTTCTGTACCTGCAAAAGTGCACGTGCAGGTATTTAGGAAATCCATAAAATTTAGGAGTTTATTTTGTAATTTAATGCAGATTGACCATCAAATAATGCTTCCCACCCTACTTCCCAAACATTTTCTGCCAGATATTTGGGGCTTTTTTCCTGAGCTTATAAATGGTCATAAATTAAGCAACATTGCTGAGTTGTTTGTGAAGGAAGGTTATCAGAGATAACCCCTCTCTCACTGATAACCCCAAGTGAGCAGAAATGAGGCACAAGTTCCTCTCCTTTGTTTTTCTTACCTACATCTTTTCCAGACTTGATATTCCTATTGACAATAAAACTCAAAGAGCAATTTTTAAAAACACTTGTCTTTCAGAATGCAGCATTTGATCTAATTTTAAAGATAAACTGCTGCCACAGGACAGGTAAATAAACTGAGTTAATTCCAACTAGCAGGAATGCAGTTAAAAATCTCCAAGAAAAACTGCAGCCAACACATCCAACATCCAGCCTGCTCCACAGTGACAACTTCATGGAGTGCAGGATCACTATTCAGTAACAATTTCAGGTAACAATAAATAACACACCCATCTTCAGTAAAAACAGATTTCAAAGAGACATACAGTATAATCTCCTAGTCAAGATGTGGCTTTTCTTAGAGTTAAAAAACATTAATTTTGCAAAGATTGCTAGGAAACATTTGATGACAGTCACCAGCTCTCTGGTTTGTGTCTCATCAAAAGCCAGGCAGTTTGCAAGGCTTTGTGCTCAGCCTCTCTTTACAACCTTCCCTCAAAGCACCACCCGGGCCTGACACTGATAAATACTGAGGGGAGAACACAGGCAAAAGGTGATACAGCTCCAGTCACACCTTTACACACAGATGCTCCACTAAAGATTTAAAAATAAAAAATAGGAACTCAATCAATAGAGCTGCTGCTTTCCAGGATCACAAAAGTGTTTGCAGGACACCTGTTAAGAGCAAAAGCATTCCCTCCCTTCCAAAGGCCAATTATCCAGCATGAGATCCGAGTCCGGTCAGCACAACTACTAATTAGGGTTCTCCCAGGCTTTTTAATTTACAAATTGCTTCTCCATGCCTTCTCCCAGATTCTGAGAGTTATCACAAATGTCTACAAACACAACTGGACAAGTATTTAAAAGCAATTCTGTTCTGTATAGAGTTAATCCAGTGCATTCAAAATAACTCACCCACTAATAGCTTCACATCTCGAACGGTGAAATCCGGGTCAGGCATTCTGTAATTAGCAAAGAAAGCAAAGTTAAATACTGTCAAGATAAGCATGGCTACACTCTCGTTACCATAATAAAGGAGAAATAAATGTATGGTGCTCTTTGTCCATAGTGCAGGAGGTGGAATCAAGCAAGGCCCCTCTCAAGTGTGGACAGTGCAAGTTTTAATGACACACATGACATCTTTGCATTGGCAAGTGTACAACAGTTTTTCCACTCACAATGAAAGAGAAGAGGTGTCTTTTTGAGCACTTTTTATCAGCACCAGAGTGGGAGAGAAGGGAAGGGGTTGGGAGTGATTTCAATAAAATCCTAAACGTTTATAGCTTGTTAAGCAACTCGTGGTGCCTCATGTCTGTTCCCCAAGGTGAGCATTATCACACTTGCCAAACTGAGGCATAGGGCAGTAAAATAACCTGCTCAAAGCCACATCATCACAGGTTGGAATCATGGCTTGCAAATAAAATATATTTTTTTAAAAATTTTAAAATAAAGCCGTTTGTTTAAATGACTGTTCCAAACCTCCTTGTCTGGCAGAAGACATCCCGGCTGTATTTGGTGGGTTGGGAAATTGTTCAATTCAATTTGGGCTAATTCAGAGCTAAATTAAATGGCAGCATAATTGGTTCAGGGATGTTGATGCATTTACAGGATCACTTCTAACACAGGCAATGTTTTAGGGCATAATGTAATTAGAGAGTAGCCTGGTCCAGAAGTGAGTTCTACATGTCAGGGAGAGAGTAAAATTCTGCAGCACAGAAACTGGATGGAAACGGAAAACAAAAACAGTGCTGAGGTTTTAAGGGTGATTGACTTCATTTTACTGACAATATTTCACACTTCACATTGCACAAAAGCTGACTAAGGAATTGTAATGAAAAACAGCCCAGTGGGACGTGCCAGCTCAGTGCTCTGCCCCTCTTGTCCTGCCCCACGTTGAAGATAAACAATTTTCTTCTGGACTTTTGACATTATTTAGTTGAAAATTAGAATAATCCAGCCCATGGGCAATCATGCAGAACAATAATTTTTACTATTAGGAAAACACTGAAAGGTAAAGTTAAAAACTACATTTACTGGCATGCACATATCTTGAGAACTACTTGCCAAATTCTCTTTGTCCACTTTCTTTTACCCTTATCACCTTCTCTGGTGGGATGCAGAGGCTGGACAGTATCTTTTGTTAGTTCTCTGCCAACCCTCACATCTTTGCATTTGGCTGTGAGGGCCTCACAGCTTTGGAATTCACTCCCTCTCTGGAATGAAACAGCCTGAATCTACTGACCTTCAGGGTTCATTCAGAGCTCATCTTTTCTTTCCAAGCACTAGAAAGTCAGAAATAGGGGAAAAGAGACAGGAACCATTTGTGGGCAAAAAGAACATGCCAGGCTTGTCTGCAAATGACACAGCTTGCTTGTGTTTGGTGTCAGAAAGGTCCAATAATTAGATAGGCAATCTTTTTCATATTCACATAAATCAAAATAAAAATCAACTGCCACACTCCCTCTTACACAATTAGGGCTGGTTTGCTACAAAAATATGTTAGCAAAAATCCCCAAACCAACTGTTTTCTTGAATGTCACCAGTCATTTGGTTTTCTGTTTATAAATCCAGAACAGCAGCAATGCAAGAACTGTGCAGAAATGTTTTTCCCTTGATGTTATGCAATTTCCAGACAAATGCATCTTTGCATGTGTAAAAACACCATGAATGCTTCCAAAGATTTCAAATATCATAAAAGGTGGTGAGGAATAGTACAGCAGGGTGACTTAACACCAAAATGTGACTGAGTACATTGGAGATGTTCAGCAGTCTGTAATAAATCAAATTGTGTTGCTGGTTTCCTCAGAGAAGAGAAATGCAAATGCCTCAGTCTGCACTGGGTGCATTTTTGCAAATGTTTAAAGATCTGCTAGAGAACCTATTCAAATCCTAATGAGGATGAGCTCTGGCCAGCACAGGTATCTGATTAACTACACAACAATGCGAGATGACTGCTGCTAGATAAGAGATAACACCTCTGCAAAGAGCATTCTCTTCCTGAGTTACAATCTGGGAAACCGCCCTCCAAGAAAAACAGCTTCTCCTCTGCTGGGAGATCACAGCGGGGCTTTCCTGCTTCCAGACCTGCAAGTGGCCCTTCATGATGGTCACAAGTACAGAGGGAAGCAATTTGCAGAGCTTCATTGTAAGGATTTTTCCTCATTCCTCTCATTCCTTGCCATTTCAGAGCACCTCCAAGCACAGTGACCGAACTGTTCAGCTCTGTACCCCTGCCAGGCACAGACATGCAGGCTGACTGCTCAGCACAAGCACAAGTGGAAGCTTGCACCAGCAGATATTCAAAACATCAAAAGTCAAAAAAAATCATCTTATGTCATGTATGTTGTGGACCATTGCATCTCAAAAGTCACCCTACAGCTCTGGATCACCCAATCCACCACATGATGATGTTCACAGCCTCCTGTGATTGAAGCCCAGGAAAGTTTGTGTCTGCAGGATGAGCTCTCATTTCCACACTCCTTCACTCTGGAGCATGAGCTGAACTGGTACCGTTGGCACAGCAGTGGGAACTGAAACATCTTCCCAGTTTTCTTCTTGAACTGAGGGGAATTTCATGGGAACTTCCCCAAGCCCAGGAGGAGGATCTGGGTGCTGGGAAGGTGCTGCTGTGCCTCCCAAACACTCCCCAGCCTCACTGAACAGCTCATGGCTCCTTCAGGAAGAAATTCCTGAAGCTTTTACCACTTGTCCCTTAGAAGCAGCAGTTTCAAACCAATGCATACAGAGAGAGCCTACTGAGCACTTCTTGCTCAGAGTTCAACATATAAAACTCATTTACTGCATCACCAGAAGCAGCAGAGCAGCTCCTGTTTGCTGTTATAGCAAAAGCACACATGGTTGTCAAATACCCCAAACTCTGCTTGTCTCTTTCTCTCTTTAAGTTATACTGGGGTGCCTTGATTCCTTTTAATTAACAATTGGGACTCCTTGGTCCCCTAAATTGGGAGGTGTTCCACAGCTGGAAACTAAAGTGAAACTGAGCAAAGTAATGATGCTTTCAAAAAATTATTTCTCTTTCTTTCAGCAATAGTCAGTTAAGTGATCCTAATTTCCAAAAGTATCAAAGAACATTCATCTAAACTATGGATTAAACACTGATAATGCTTTTAATACTTCTCTTTTAGACACTGTCCCTGTCACAAACAAAGTTGCAGGATTCTCTTATTAAAATACCAAATCCTTTATACTGGATATTAACAAAATGCCACCTCAAAAAGGCTCCAGTGATCTCATATTTAACTAGACGTTATTAAATATTTACAAAGCTGTAACATTCTGAAGAGACATAACTATAATGGAAAACGACAGGCATCATTAGAATCCCACCTGCAATGAATGAAAGAATTGAAAAGTCAGAAACTGAAGGGAGTTTGTTCTGACATTACAGCATAGATTGGCTGCAAAAACCTTTGGATTTCATTCCTAACTTTCACTGCTGACATATTTTTGACTGTGTAGTACCATGCTGTATGCACTTAACTTTTACAGACTTCATTATCTGCTTGTTTATAAGTGGAAAATAATCATTTCTCCTCTCAACGGTGCTGACAGTCTTACTAATTGCAATCCATTTTGAGATCATCAAAAGAAATATCAGATACAAGTAAAAAGCATAATGGTTATTTTATAAAAGCATTTATTAATCACCAAAAGTTGGTTGTAACTTACTTAATTCCCAGTCCATCCTTATTTCTGAAGATCAGGGGGACTCTGAGAGCTTCTCTTTGCACATACTCAAAAGTGAAATCTGTGGAAATGAATAAGAACAACATCCAAAAGCAATTACAATGGTGTTGGCACCTCACAGTTACATTTTCTCAGACTCTCCCCATTTCCCTTTTCTCACCAAAGAACTCCCTATCACCTAAAGAGAAATAGAAAGAGAATGCATATTTTAGATCCAAACCGGAAACCCAGTGACAGACAATGCTGTCCCAGCTGCTCCCTATTTTTCCTGTTCACTGATGCACATAAAATAGAAGCCAGTCAGTTTGTCAATTAAGGTCTGTGTTGAAACACCCAGGCTGTAATGAAATACCAAATTAACAGTTAAAAGATAATCCTGACCAAATACTGCAAATCAGTCAGGTATTTTTGGGGCAAATGTGTAGTTTAAAATGCATGTGTAAGTTTAGATTTTCTAAGTTACACATTTCTACTTAGATAAATACATGTTTCCTTGTGAGTATTATCTGGTTCTACCAGAGAGCTCTAATTCCATGAACACATAATTCTTTTTATGTGGGGGTTACTCTTGGTTTCAACAGAGCAACTTTTCTTTTAATTAGTCAGCAATGTAACTCCAGGAGCTGATAGTCAGATTTTACACAGCTCCTAGCACTTGGGAAGTCTGTGAAAAATGAATTGTGGGGAGTCACAGTATAATACACAATCAAAGTGAAAATTAAACATAAATTTGTCACGTTAACACCGGCCAGAATTACCTTGTTGCTCCTCTCTGAGGATTACCCAGGACTGGCCTTTCCTGGGGATTTCTCTATGCATGGTCTGACACAATGGCAGTGATTTGGGGATTAGAGAGGAAGTTACAAGGCAGCGATTTGGGTGAGCCATGGCTACAAAACCCCACACTCAGTTTGGAGCCTTCAGCCACAGAGAGCAGAGGAATTCCTGCAGCAGCCATGGGCTGTTTCTATGGCTCTGCTATTCCCCCATTTTACAGGAAAAAATGACTTTTACAAAGCCTTTCCATGCACGGCCTGGCAATGGAAAGCACTGCCTGACTGTCCAGCACCACAGGACGCCTTGCCAAAGGCAGAGCCCACTCCCTGCGGTTTATTCAGGCACACACTCCTGGTGCAGTTTAACTCCAAGATCCTTCCAGCTGTCCACACCCCTGGGCCAGCACAAACACCTCAGCCTGAGCTGCTATTCCTGATGTTCCTGTGCTCTAAAACCCACACTGAAAGCAAGAGGAGAGCCAGAGGCCAAACTCCCATGCCTGCACATGTACTGCCCTCTATTTTTACTTTTTCTTTGCTGTATTCAGTTAGTAATTATGACAAGTAGGGATGTAATGTTCCTACTTAAGAGTTACCAAACCAGAGCACTGTAATTATCCATTTACAGGAACATTAAAACTACAGAAAGTTTATTGCCACTAGTGTCAAAGTAAGTGTAATGAACCCTCCATTTAACTAAGGTTACCCAGTAAATATTTCTGTGCTAAATAAGTCATCCTTGCCCATAGGCATCCCCATTAAAGCTATTGCCTTTTGGTAAGCAAATAAATAAACTACAGAGACTTTTCACAGACACTGATCCGAGTCAGAAAGTCAACAAACATCAGGAGTAATGTTGGTGGAAGAAGCAGAGGCACCTATGAAACCTTGCAGGATAGACAACAAGCAGCTACAACAAACTGCATTTCAAGCCAAAATTCACACCACTTCAAGATGAGTTATCATTGAAAATAAAAAGACATGGGAAAGAAAAAAATATTGCTCAACTAATTCCATATGTTCATAACTTGTTTTATTCTTACATACTACTGTCATTGTTTCGACCAGATTCAATTCAACTCTTAGGTTTATAGAGGAAAAAAGTGAACCAATAGTAAAAATAAAACCAGAGCAAATAGCAAGGCAGATCCTTTCTTCCTAATGCCCCAACAAAGCATTTAAATCCCTTGTGGGGTTGAACAAAGCCGACACAGACCACAACAAAATAACAAAAGACACTCATTTATTTTCAAGTTCCCTAGAAAGGAGAGAGCTGCCCAGAGATTTTGGAGCTGCCCAGCCAGGGAAGATGTGGATTGTGCTGTCCTTAGCATGGAGCAGTGGCAACCACTGGAGTGTTTGGAAGCTGAGGGTAGAATGCAAACAATTTCTGGAAAATTAATTAACATTTTCCAGCTAAAAAATAGTTGCTTGTGTTTTGTTTGGAGGAAGAGGGGTCAGGGTTGAGCTTATCTCCTAAACAAATACCTTCCTAAGTAAGATAGGTATTTAATTTCTCCACCACATCAACTTTTCTAAAAGGAGCTTAAAATGCTCATGCAAAACTAAGCCTAAGGGAGAAAAGGAAATTTTCTAAACTCGATTAGTGGTTCCACACAGCTAGAGCAATTCCAGGAGGATTACAGCCAAAACTTCTTTCTGAGAAAGCCATCCTAGAGAGGCTCCTCGGTCAGGCCGAGTTTTGGCGACAGCCATGTGGGATTGGGGATCCGTGTCAGCAGCACAGCGGTAAATAAAGGTGACCTGCAGCCCCCGGATTCCCGGCACAGCTCTCCCGTTTCCCCGTGCGCCAGAGCGGGGCTGTCTGGCTCTGCTTACCCTCCGGAATTCCAGGCACCTCAGCAAAGCGAGGAACTTTGGGGAGGGGAGCGCTGTAATTTAATATATGATAGACACACAAAGAAGTTATTGACTTTAAAGTCTCCGAGCCTGGCGAACGGGCTCATCAATCGCACCGTTTCGCAAAAGGGGTCCTGCATTCAGGAGGGGGCGGAGGGGGAGCAGGAATCACCTCTGGCTAGGTGGGGGCTGGGGTTTCGGCCTCTCCCGTGCCAGGAGCTGATTCCTGCCCAGCC